TGAGATCGATAGTAAGTGAATGGTCAGAAACACCAGTACTGTTTCCTGTTGATACATTCCTGAATGTCCCTCAGACTGTGCAACCTGTTCTTTTTCTATCCTCCTACTTCTCAGTGCAACCCGTGCTTCGTCATACAATGAAAGAGTTATGCCACTGAAATGTACTGAAGCATGGCTGAGCAGAACGTTTCCTGGTAACATTGTGAAAAGATTAAACGGCAGAGGACCTACAACATGTTGAGATCAGGCCTTCTGTAGGCGTGGATTAGTTTATGTAATTGTTGTGATACTGGTAAACAGGAAACATGTCACCTGGTTTACCTCAAGAAACCTAACATAGACACCATAAACGTGACACCATAGACTATACATAAAAGATGGTCATAGCCACCATGATGTCACCAATCGGTTCTTGCCTGTGGCTCTATGATGCCAGCCAGACTCCTTTCCTTCCTCCTGCAAGTGCATGATGGGATGCAGGCCTGATTCACAGAATCGCTCAATTCAGTTAGTTCACCTTAAACACGATAGCTAGCCAGTGCCAGTCTTTTCACCCAAAGCAAACACTCAAAAAACTAAAGTCATGAGAGAATGGCATTAACCACAATGTTGGTCTTCGGTTTTTAAGATGGGTTCTTAAAAATGATATCCTGAAGGTCATCAACAAGTTTTAGGCATATGCAGTGCAGCATTTGTCTCCACCCTGCTCTGCAGATACATCAGACAGAATGTATTTCACGAACCTGGAGCTCCTCTATCTAGATCCTTTGTAAAACCAACTCAACCTGGCCCTAAAGGCCCAGAGTAGGAAATACAATCTGCATGGGTGATCATGACCTACCCTACCATCACAAGTATTGCAAACCAAAGAAGCACTTTAAGCTCTACACAAATGACCTCCTTAGCCATTGCAATATATACCCCAACTACTCTGAACCACTAGCAACCTTTGCTATGGTGACTGAACAAACACCTTAAAAAGAACTTCCCAAGAACACCAGAGTGCAGCTGGCATGAACCCAATATTTGGCTTCCCTTGCAAGGTAGAACCAAGTCTCATTATCTGAGATTTCTATATAAAGACTGCTCCCTTTGCCGTCACTCAAGACATGCAGGCTACATCCATCTTTTATTTAGAGTCTATCCAAGAGAACAAGCCAATCAGTAATTTGCCAAACTGACCGACATCATGGCCATAACTCTTCCTTTCTATGGCTGTGTTCTTTTCTATTCTTCAACTGAGTGCATGTCAACTGAATGTCCAGTAACTTCTTTGCTGTAGTATTAGGCAATGCTACTCAATGGGTTTTGTGCATTTCTTACCTTCTTTGTTTTCTAGTATTCCTATGAAAGAGACAGAGACTTAAATCTATTATATAAAATATATGACTAGAAAAATGGCATTCAAGAATGAACATAACTTTTATGGCAATGTTTAATTAAATATTAATTCTTAATGTATGTTTCAGTAAAAAAAAAAAAAAGCTTTCTCTTCTTAAGTGTAGAGACTTATTGCAGGGATGCAAGTATTATATTTGGTCTTTAAAGAATATCTTGTTGAAATTCTAGATGATGTAGAGTGATGCAATTCAATAAAACTATAAAACTGAAAACTGTGCTGTATGGCTTTGATATTAAATGCTGCTGGTTATTGGGAATTGTGCTTTTTCTTTTCCTTCCTGTGTAAATGTTGTGGCAGATGTGTGATTTGAACTTTGAGCCATAATATGGTAATGTTCAGTCTGCATGCACACTACAAAAAATAAATTATTGTGGGTTTATCTGGTGTGAAACCTATAATGTGGTAAATGTTTCCCTAGCATGTGCTCCAGAATAGCTTTACTCAGAAATACGTTGGACACAAAAACTTAACACTGGTGTTATACATCAATCATACAGAACAAGCATAGCACTACATTAGCTAATCAGCAAAAATGTCCATCAATGTCTACGTACAACTCTCAACTCAGTGCAAAGTAGTATTTAGACACCATTTAATCACAAGTCATTATCTCTCTTTTTTCCCACAGTGTGCCTTTTGTACTGTCTTCCTCCCATTACCGCCGCCCCTCCCTGATCCTGATCCTGCCGAAAGGTTTCTTCCTGTTAAAAGGGAATTTTTCCTTCCCACTGTTGCCAAGTGCTTGCTTAAAAGGGGTCGTCTGATTTTTTGGGGGTTTAAAGCACCTTGATGTACTGCTGTTGTGATTTGGCACTATATAAATACAATTAAATTGAACTGAATCCCAACAGGACACCAGACGCAAAACCTTGTAGAGCTATTCAGCAGTGCTGTTGAGCAAGTTAATTATAAAGTTAAATATTCATGAGGTAAGCCATTAAATTAGTAAAATAAAACTGCAGACCAGTAGATCACTGGGGGGAAAACTGAGCATGCTTCTACCAGTTGGTGAGTGGCTGCAGGAGATGGTTTACTCTTCCTTGCTCACAGTTTTGGATGCTGAACCCATAACATCCTTGTGATTGCTTTGGATAGGTTATTGCTTTTATATTGTGCGTAACCCCCAATGATTCAAAGTGCAGGCTGCTATTCAAACAGAAAATAAATAAGCAAAATAAGTTTACAATTTGCTTTATTCAGTTGTCTTTTTCTTTTGTCTAGTAAAATTAATGTCATGAACTGGCTGTGTGCAGGCAGGAATAGGACCCAGACGCAAACAGGACTTTAACTCAAAATACAGCTTTATTCGCTGAATGGGGGGAAAGGCGATACAAAACTAAACTGGGAAATTCATAACTAATCATACGGAGAGGCACACAAGGAAACACAGCCAAGAGGGAGGATGCGACAAAGGACTGAGGGAGACGCATAAACACACAGAAAGATAACAAGGGACGTGAGAGCACACAAAGAACGCAGCTAGCACGAATAATCACAACTAGAAAGGCCAGGACCAAACACAACATGACCTACACCAGAGGTTCCCAAAGTGTGGGGCCCACCCCCTAGGGGGGGGCGCGGTATGAAAATAAAAAAGAAGAAGAAGAACTCTTGGCCACTGCTAGCTTAATGGACAGATTTCTGATGGAGCGCCCACGCAAAGCAGGAGATGAAGCATCGCCAAATATGTTTCCAAACCAACTTCCTTCCAAAGACTAGAAAATATGGTGAAGCATATCTTCCCTTTGGCTTTACCTGCACAAGTGCAAAGGTAGGTCTCCCCTGCAGAATTGGTTTTCCCTGTGTCGGGAGCAGCGCTGGGCTCTCCAAATCACAGACAAACAGTATCCGACATTCTTGATTTTTAGCTCACAAACACTTCTTGTAATAACTAACTACTCCTGACATTTTGGAGATGTTAGCTCTTTATACAGTAAAGTTACAG